GCGCCAGGCTTGCCAGTATCTGACAAGCCCCACATCAGTCACCATTCTCTTTTCGTCATTAATCGTTAAGTGGAAATTGGCTTTTGACTCTCTTTTATCAAACTTAAAATTGATACTACCGCCTATTGCTCAGCTTCCTGCATGATTACTCTCCTGTTTTATCTCTGAAAATCCAGACAGAAGGCTGTTGACACACACAGTCTGCTTTAAAAGACATTTCTTTGTTTTATTGCTGATATTCTCCCATTAGTGACACTTTTTCTTTCTTTCTTTTCTTTTTCTTTTTTTTTTTTTCTTTTTTTGGAGAGGTTTTTTGGTATAGGGTGTATAGGGAGTGTGCGCTCGCCAGAAAGAGAGAGAGACAGAAAGCGAGAAATCACCCCCCCACCCCACCCCGGGCCATGGCCACACCACAATCCCTTCTCTTCCATTCTCCTCTCAGGATCTTGGGCATGCATGCACACACACCTGGTGTGAGTTTAAGCCACTGGGGCCAGGACTGGAACCACAGTCGACTACATGGGAGTCCAGCGACATAGCCATTACACCATCTGCTGGTGGCCTGTTAGTGACACATAATTTAGCCCAGTCTTGAACCCTTCCTTTCTGTTAATTCACATTTGTGTCAGGCATGCTTTGGTGTGTGGGGTTGGTATTAGTTGCACAAGTGAATTCATACTTTAAAAACCTTTATTCATGATAGAGTACATGTGTGCACATACAAAAGTGAAAAAGAGAGAGATGAGCACCCTCCACAGGGTCTGGTCACCCTGCACACCTTCCTCCAGCCCTCCAGCCTGTGGGATTCTGGGTGCCTGCGTGCATGCCCAGTATGCCTCAGGCTGACTGGTCTGGGGACTTGAACCACATCACCATGTGGGATCTGGCTTTTCCTGAGCGGAGCATTACCGCTATGCCACAAGCCCACCCAGTACATTTGTATTTAGTTATGAAAACATTATTTCATCAACCCCAAATGTTGATACTCCCCAAATTCTCACCTCCAATAGCTTTAAACAGTTAGTGATTTCCTTCTTCAAATTTTCTTCAGCCAAATCACGGGACCTCTCTTCAAGCTTCACTCTTTTCTCCAGTGTAAACCAGTCACACTTAAATCCCAAAGATAATCTGAGAAATTCTGCCTGTTGTCAAAATAATGTGGGGTGAGGAGACAACAATTGGATGTGGTCACATATTTCGGTTTCATAGTGGATTATACTGAGGCATTTCTCCTCCCAGCATCATGACATGAAGCGTTTCCTGCACTTAGTCACTGCCAAGCCAGACACCAGAGCGAGGAAAACGTGTGCAATAGAAATTCTGCCTGTTGTCAAAATAATGTGGGGTGAGGAGACAACAATTGGATGTGGTCACATATTTCGGTTTCATAGTGGATTATACTGAGGCATTTCTCCTCCCAGCATCATGACATGAAGCGTTTCCTGCACTTTAGTCACTGCCAAGCCAGACAGACACCAGAGCAATGAAAACTTGTGCAATAGCAATGAAGTGACTGTGGCAGGTGAATCTGAAACACTTTTTTCAAAAGAAAAAAAATTGATTTAAACTCACCTCCACCTCCTTTTCATTAGCAGAAGTGCTGTAGATAAAACAAAGAGCTTTTTCAAACACAATCCAGCAGAAAAATCAAATGTAGTAACATGCTAGCTGAAGAACTTACTTGTCACTTTGTTTAAAGTTAACTGATTTCACAGTGGTTACGGGAAGAGGGCAAACGGCAGTGTCTATTCAGAGACAAAGTACGATTTGGTTAGAAAGGTTTAGCAAGTAAAAGCAGACGTGATCAAGTTGTTTTATTCTATTGCCACTAAACAAAAGCATCTCATTCAAATACATCTGAGATGATTACCAGCTCATAATGTGTTTGCTTAAATTATAACACAATGCTGTTGAGGTCACAATGGTTTTTAAAGCGTTGGCTCCTATTTCAATATGTGAACGGCCCTTGCAACCTAAATAATCTATGTCAAGGGAGAACCCGATTTGTTCTCTTGGCACTTAGATGTTGAGCATACTCAATCCCATGGCTAAATGCATACCTTCCTCTGTTATCCTGGTCCTTCTCGGATCAAGGCTTTACTGGCAGCAGCAGTGGTGATTATAAGATTATAGTAATGGTAGAAGTAATAATAATACTAAAACAATACTGGTAATGATAACAACAATAGTAACATGCTATAAACCACTGATCGTGGCTTTATTATATCTAGTCCAGATCAAAGCTCTTTCCAAATACTATGATTTTTTTTTTTGCTATAGGGCACGTGTGCTTGCCAGAAAGACAGAGAGACAGAAAGTGAGAAATCAACCCCCAGGGGGGATGGCCATGCCACAATCCCTTCTCCTCCATTCTCCTCTCGGGATCTTGGGCAAGCACACACACGTGCCCAGCGTGAGTTTAAGCCACCGGATCTGGGACTCAAACCATGATCAACTACATGGGAGTCCAGCAACATAGCTATTATGCTAACTGCTGGTCCCCCCCAAACATTATGATTTGATGCTGGTAGGAGAACGGAATAAGAAGGGATTGTGGATGTGGCCATTCCCCAGGGGGTGATTTCTCACTTTTCCTCTCACTGTATCTGTCTGTCTGTCTCCAGGAAGTACACACACCCTAAGCTGGGCCTCTCAATTTCCTCACTCTAGTCTTGGGCTGGGCCGAAGGAACAAGAGGAACCGTTTTAGAGTCAGGACTATCACTGGGACATTACAAATAGCAGGCCCGTGGGAGTGTCCTATTATCATGCCATCCCCAGAGAGGTTCTAATTAACTACCCCTTCACACAAAACTCAACCCAGGACCAAGTCTGCTTTTTTTTTTTTTCTTTTTTTGGAGAGGTTTTTTGGTATAGGGTGTATAGGGAGTGTGCGCTCGCCAGAAAGAGAGAGAGACAGAAAGCGAGAAATCACCCCCCCACCCCACCCCGGGCCATGGCCACACCACAATCCCTTCTCTTCCATTCTCCTCTCAGGATCTTGGGCATGCATGCACACACACCTGGTGTGAGTTTAAGCCACTGGGGCCAGGACTGGAACCACAGTCGACTACATGGGAGTCCAGCGACATAGCCATTACACCATCTGCTGGTGGCCTGTTAGTGACACATAATTTAGCCCAGTCTTGAACCCTTCCTTTCTGTTAATTCACATTTGTGTCAGGCATGCTTTGGTGTGTGGGGTTGGTATTAGTTGCACAAGTGAATTCATACTTTAAAAACCTTTATTCATGATAGAGTACATGTGTGCACATACAAAAGTGAAAAAGAGAGAGATGAGCACCCTCCACAGGGTCTGGTCACCCTGCACACCTTCCTCCAGCCCTCCAGCCTGTGGGATTCTGGGTGCCTGCGTGCATGCCCAGTATGCCTCAGGCTGACTGGTCTGGGGACTTGAACCACATCACCATGTGGGATCTGGCTTTTCCTGAGCGGAGCATTACCGCTATGCCACAAGCCCACCCAGTACATTTGTATTTAGTTATGAAAACATTATTTCATCAACCCCAAATGTTGATACTCCCCAAATTCTCACCTCCAATAGCTTTAAACAGTTAGTGATTTCCTTCTTCAAATTTTCTTCAGCCAAGTCACGGGACCTCTCTTCAAGCTTCACTCTTTTCTCCAGTGTAAACCAGTCACACTTAAATCCCAAAGATAATCTGAGAAATTCTGCCTGTTGTCAAAATAATGTGGGGTGAGGAGACAACAATTGGATGTGGTCACATATTTCAGTTTCATAGTGGATTATACTGAGGCATTTCTCCTCCCAGCATCATGACATGAAGCGTTTCCTGCACTTAGTCACTGCCAAGCCAGACACCAGAGCGAGGAAAACGTGTGCAATAGCAATGAAGTGACTGTGGCAGGGGAATCTGAAACACTTTTTTCAAAAGAAAAAAAATTGATTTAAACTCACCTCCACCTCCTTTTCATTAGCAGAAGTGCTGTAGATAAAACAAAGAGCTTTTTCAAACACAATCCAGCAGAAAAATCAAATGTAGTAACATGCTAGCTGAAGAACTTACTTGTCACTTTGTTTAAAGTTAACTGATTTCACAGTGGTTACGGGAAGAGGGCAAACGGCAGTGTCTATTCAGAGACAAAGTACGATTTGGTTAGAAAGGTTTAGCAAGTAAAAGCAGACGTGATCAAGTTGTTTTATTCTATTGCCACTAAACAAAAGCATCTCATTCAAATACATCTGAGATGATTACCAGCTCATAATGTGTTTGCTTAAATTATAACACAATGCTGTTGAGGTCACAATGGTTTTTAAAGCGTTGGCTCATATTTCAATATGTGAACGGCCCTTGCAACCTAAATAATCTATGTCAAGGGAGAACCCGATTTGTTCTCTTGGCACTTAGATGTTGAGCATACTCAATCCCATGGCTAAATGCATACCTTCCTCTGTTATCCTGGTCCTTCTCGGATCAAGGCTTTACTGGCAGCAGCAGTGGTGATTATAAGATTATAGTAATGGTAGAAGTAATAATAATACTAAAACAATACTGGTAATGATAACAACAATAGTAACATGCTATAAACCACTGATCGTGGCTTTATTATATCTAGTCCAGATCAAAGCTCTTTCCAAATACTATGATTTTTTTTTTTGCTATAGGGCACGTGTGCTTGCCAGAAAGACAGAGAGACAGAAAGTGAGAAATCAACCCCCAGGGGGGATGGCCATGCCACAATCCCTTCTCCTCCATTCTCCTCTCGGGATCTTGGGCAAGCACACACACGTGCCCAGCGTGAGTTTAAGCCACCGGATCTGGGACTCAAACCATGATCAACTACATGGGAGTCCAGCAACATAGCTATTATGCTAACTGCTGGTCCCCCCCAAACATTATGATTTGATGCTGGTAGGAGAACGGAATAAGAAGGGATTGTGGATGTGGCCATTCCCCAGGGGGTGATTTCTCACTTTTCCTCTCACTGTATCTGTCTGTCTGTCTCCAGGAAGTACACACACCCTAAGGCAAAAACCTCTAAAAATAGTTGTTTTTTTGTTTGTTTGTTTTTAAAGTGCTGGATTTCGAGTTGAAACACTGGGTTTAGATCTGAGCTTTGACCCTTACAGCTCTATGATCTTCAACAAGTCACACCCTGAATAAGTCACTACAAAATAAAGAACAATGTTATTTGGTGTATAGTTGTTAACTTTGGTGAAAACTTTTGTGCCAGGTACTTAGTTCTAAGTGCTCATACATACTAATTTATTCAATCCTTACAGCAAAAGTTCTGTGATACATACTGTTATCTATACTTTATAGACTAGAAAGCTGTATCACATTTTATCTAACTCACAAAGTATTTGGAAAGTTAATAAAACTATGCATATAAAGAGCTTAGTCCAATACTTAACATATGGTATATCCTCAATGAAGGATACATTCTTTTCCCTTTATGACAGAGCTGTGGGGGAGAGGTGGGAGGAGGAAAGAGAGAGAAAAGGAGAAGGAGAAAGAGGGATCTTTTTGACAGGTTCGCTCCATGCCAGAGTTTATCTGCTCCTCTCTCCTAGTTAGCTAGAATTACAGGTGTGTACAACCATGCCCAGGGCGTTCAGATTGGCTTAGGAACCAAACTCGGGACTTCCATGTGGCTTCCTGCCTCCCAAGCAGTGATACTACCTTTGTGCACCGTGGCTGGGTTATAAAGTGTTCTTAAAAACAAAACAACTGTTTCCATTATACAGAAGAAAAACTGAGGTTTGAGGTTAAACAAGTAATATTATATAGCTAATCAGAAATTGTCTCAGTTTAGGGACCAGCAGATGGATGGCATAAGCTTCGGTGGACTCCCATGTAGTCAACCGTGGCTCGAGTCCTGGACCTGGTGGCTTAAAACTCACACTGGTGCATGCGCACATGTGCAGGTGTACCTAAAATTCTGAGAGGAGAATGGAAGAGAAGGGACTGTGGCATGGCCATCCCCCTGAGGGGTGATTTCTTGCTTTCTGTGTGTCTCTTGTCTCTTCAGAGAGTGCGCGTACCCTATAGCAAAAACCTTTCTAAAAAAAAGGAAAGAAACTGTATCTGTTTAGAATCTGTAAGACTGAAGCCTAAACTCCATCTACTATTTCACCCTAATGGAGGTAGGCTAAGGAGAAAAAACATATTAGCTCTCATTCAGCAAATATTGGCTTATTAACTTTTAGACAAGATACTAAAAAGGAACTCAATACAGAACTCAGAATTCCCCACCACCATTGGCTTAATTGTTAGTTCCCAATGGAATACCCATTATCACAAGTCCTCTGGGATCAGCTGATGCAGCATACATGTGGCTTTTTAACTACGATACAAAAACTTGGTTCTACAGGCTGACTGTAGAGATGCAGAATTTGCAGGCGGCCTGGCTTTGCTCAGAGAGATTTCCGCCACACACGTGTCTGCAGGACGTAAATGTCCAGGTGGGGACCAAGGAGAACATTACTCACCTCCTGAAGCGCATTCTCTCCTAGGTGCAGCTATTGTCTCGGGCTCCTCTTTCACTTCCTAAAACCATAAAGAGATTTTATTGCTGTACACAGAGTGGAAATCCTTCATAACTGATCGTTTCCCAACTTCCTGTCCTCTCCTAACCCCACTCTTTCAAAAACACAAGAGTATTCAAGGAATTGTACCAGGGGTTAAGAAGAAACCAGACTAGCTCCAAGGGGGTTTTAACCTAGTGGAGGCAAAAGGATCATAAATGCATGAAAAGCTGCAAACGTGATACAAGTTCCCACAACGCAAAGTAGGATTAATGGCCAACTAAATGAGATCTAGATCAACAAGTGCTCTGAGTAGGAAGGGGAGAGGCAGCCTGGCTCTCATCGCCTGTTACAGCTCTGCAGACAGGGAACATGCTGAAGCTTGGTGGAGAGGTAGAGTTGGGTGGATTAAGAGGTGAGGAGGGTGACCTGGGGCTGACACAGATTGCCTTCTATTCATAGTTTGGGGGGTAATTGTGGTTAAGATAGCAGCTAAGGTTGTGCAATGTGAAGCTTTTACTCCATACGAATGTGTTTTATTTTTATTATACAAATGTGTTTTAAGGTCACTGGTCAATTGTCCTATAAACCTATCCATAGAACAGGGTCATTGCAGTGACAGGGATGCACTGTACTACCTGAAGAAATCTGACGGGAAAACTTCAGGCATACCATCATTTTTATGGTAATAATTCTTCAACATCCTCAGATTAATTAAAAAATTTAGAAAATCAATGAGGGGCTGGTAGGTGAACTGGTGGTTGGGATGCTAGACTGACTCCCACATGGCCGACCACAGTTCAAGTCCTGGACTTGGTGGCTTGCTTTCACACTTCCCTCTCTCTCTCTCACTCTCTCTGGTCAATTAAAAAATAATAACAAATAAAGTTAAATAAATGATTATTAAAAAAAAAAACCCTGGGGCTGGCAGGTGGCAATGGTGGTTAAGGGCACTGGAATCCCACATGGCCGACTGTGGTTCAAGTCCTGGACTTGGCAGCTTACTTCCTCGCTCTCTCACTCTCACTCTGTCCTTCTATGGTCAAATTAAAATACATACATACATAAAGTTAAAAAAACAATTTTTAAGAAAGAAAACCAGTGAAATTTTCTGTTAAAAAATAAGAATCCAGGAAGACAAATTTCTTGGTGGAGCCATTCATACCATGTCATTGGAAAAGTCAGGATGCATTTTTGGGATAGGAAAGTACCTCTTGTCTTTTCCGACCTCCCAATCAGTTTTCAGTAGAATGTAATGAATACCATGACACAGATAAACCACTGGACAGTTCTCATCGATATTTAAATAGGAAGGTTTTTGAACGCTTACTCAACCCCATGACGTTTTCTGGTTGTGGTATTTTCTTCTCCTGCCCCTCATATCCATGCTACTGGAAGTTATTGTTCCTGGTTGCTGTTTCCAGCTCTTTAAATTCAATTCAATTGACTATCCCTGAACCTAGCACTCCAGGGAACTTTCTCACCAGTTGTCAGTGAACTCCCTACATAATACCAAATCCAGTGCACAACTGTTCAGTCTTTATTTTACTTGACCTGTGGCATTTTAAATTATCTGTAAAACTCTTCTCAGTCTCCTATGCCTTCCATATTAGATACTGCTCATAAGATTCTATTATTAGGACCAGCAGTTGGCGTAATGGCTATGTCGCTGGACTCCCATGTAGTCGACTGCAATTTGAGTTCCGGACCTGGTGGCTTAAACTCATAACAGACCTGTGTGCGTGCGTGCGTGCGTGCCTAAGAGCCCGAGAGGAGACTAGAGGAGAAGGGATTGTGGCATGGCCATCCTCCCGGGGGGTGATTTCTGGTTCTCTGTCTCTCTGTCTCTCTCTGCCTTTCTGGGGAGCACATGTGCCCTATACCAAAAATCTCTCAAAAAAAAAAAAAAAGATTCTATTATCGGGGCCAGCAGATGGTGTAGCAGGTATATTGCTGGACTCCCACTTGGCCAACCATGGCTTTAGTCCCAGGCCCTGTGGGTTTTGGAAGA